CAAAGGGGAAGAGACTGATCTCTTTCCCCCACCTCCATGACATGAAAAATTCCAGAAAAAAGAGGTACTCTACTATAGTTATGTGTTTACTTCTCATACAGACATGTACTCCTAGAAGCAAAGAGTCAAGGCAAAATGATTTGGTCGTTGACAAAGTGCAGCACTTTTGCTATATCGAAGCAGAATGTCTCAACAGCATCAAATACAAGACAGTAAAAAAATTTTAGCTTATTTGCCTTTAAACTTCTGTATAAACTGACACATCTCCATAGAACGCTCTGGTTTGGATGATTCTTATTCTCTGATGGAAAAATTCCTGCCAAAATACTTGAAATAATAATCTCATGACATAAACTTAATACGTTTTGAATAGAGACATCATTATTTAATCATTGCAGTGATAAAGATGAGTTCTCAGCTTTATGGACAACTTCTGTCTGCCAAAGAAGCCTTATAATGTAGAGCAGTAAGTCTTGGAGATAAGAGCTATAGGATATTCCACAGGAATCAGAGACCTACTGAGATTGGACTCTTAACCTGACTGGTAAGGCAAGAGCTTGTTCAGAGAACAGCAAACAGAGAAGGGAACAGAGCTAGAGGAACAAGGGAGTAGCAAAGGGAGAGTACAAACAAGAAACCACCAGGAGCTAGAAGGTGTAAATGGCAACTTACCAAGGGCTTGTTCATAAACTAGGCTGGTGCACCCGTGTTCATAAAAAAAAAAGTTAAAATGTAATTTGCATTCTTTTGTTTGCATGTCATGGAGACAGAGCAACCAATAGGTGTTTGGTTCAGCTTTTGTAAGGGCAGGTAGCTACAACTTGGTCTTGTGGCACCAAATGCCCACCTGGAAAGGTCATCTTCAAGAAATCTCAAGGGACCTTTTCTTCAGAGCTAGCAAAAACAGTTGAAAAGTCCTTTCACAGTTTTGGCTGAAGGGAAACACCCACTTCTTAAAAAGAATATTATACTGGGGTTTTTTCTATTTTGTTGGGAAATAAAGGGCTTATTTAAAGCCTGCTATAACTCGAATGGAACAGCAAGAAACAAAGCAGTATTTTTGAAGAGACAAAAAAATACATGAATTCTGAAATGTTTTGACAGACAGAATTGTCAGCTGAAGGATTGACAGCAAGAAGAAGCACACAGTAGATTTGTGTTCAGTGAACTAAACCACTGAATGAGTTGCAAGTGCCATACACAAACTACCCTTAGCAAGTACCTGGTTCCTCTGTCTCGGTAACTGTATCGATAAAAAGCTAATCATCTTGCTGCTGTACAGGTCTTGCCTGCAGAGCACTGAACAGTGCTGCAGTTACAACAGTGAGAGCTGATAATAAGACGGGGGGCGGGGGGGGGGGGGGGAAGAAAGGGAATAAGACACAAAGTATGTTTATTTTGGGCAGCAGCTTAAGTATTTTCCATAACCTTCATACTTGGTCTGTGAGCTTTCTTATTAGTATCGTTCTTACGACGGCATTGATTTCAGTTTAGCAGCCAAACACCATATGGAATTGAATAATCAAACATTGCATTTAAAGATGTTGAAATGAAACTTCATGACTCATTTAAATTTTTTTCTCTTCCAGAAACAGAACTTTCCTTCTTTTTGGAGACCCTGATATCCATTTCTCTATAGAAAGTGTCACCAAGACCAATAACTCGCTTATTCCACCTTCTTACAAAGACATTTCTAAGCACAGATTCCCAGCTGTTGGCCAAAGGAGGCTGAGTTCCATGGACAAAGCTCCATGGAGGAGACATTTGCACCGAGTTTTCTGTACTCTTCATCTGCACCAAGCAAGGTCACAGAGTGGATTCCTACTCTTCTGGTTCTGTAAAGGAAGAACAAGACTGTTCCCACAAGCAGGATCAGGCATATCTGACAGTACAAACCAGAATAAGAAGTGGCTTTGGTATTTTGGGCAGTTTGGAAGGTGTCATAGAGTGCCTGTGTGTGCAGCAGTTCTCCTCTGTCCATGGTGCTGGGACAGGTGCTATGTACAGATACAAAACTCTAACCCTCACCCAGGTGAGAAAACATTGCTATTTCTGAGATTTGTTGCCTCCTAGTAAATGTTATTAGATTGCATTAATGCCAGATTTATAGTCATAAACTATTATGGGCCCAGTATATTGTTATACAGCATCAGAAAGAAGATGCATATGGCATTGCTTATATCACTACCATGGCTGGACAAGCTGTTATTTCTATGGTAGCAGAGACCACGTATTCCAGATAAATAACATAACAGATCCTCATGAGTTCGTCTGTCCAGCTGCATTTCTGAGCAAGCTGAGGAAAGGTTGTATCTGCCTTCTCCAGAAGCTTTTCTGAGACACAGACCTATGGACATCACCTCTTTTTGGTGGTGCTCTTTTTTGTCTCTCTGCCTGAACCCCATATGGCGAGGAGTGTACTAGTGGGGACTCTCCTGACTGAAAAGTCAGGGTATCACCTTGGTAGGAGGCACCCAAATCAGGCTCACAAGTGATTAGGTTTTCATCTGGAAGGTACATCCTGTGGCAGTTATTTGGAAGCTGATGCTTAGGGTAGGAAAAAGATGCTGAAGTTGAGACTAGAAGTATCTCAATGGAGTTTGTGGTTTGATGATCCTGTGGCTTGTTCCCCTGAAGAGGAGAGAGCTGTGAACTACTTGATGTTAAGAGTTAGGTTTCACTGTCTCATGTGTCATGATTTTCTGTGGCAGCTGTATAATCTGGAAAAAGTGGGAGCAGTTTGGGGACAGAACAATGGGTACTTGAACTTTGGAGGGTCAGCTGGCTGTGGAGAGAGACCAGCAGCTCTAAAAAGGTCAAAAAGAAGCTCACGGACCTTGCAGGGACTTAATGTGCTCATTCTTTTCCTGGATTCTGAAAGCCCCTGTGGATGACATCATTATTTTCTGCACACAAAGGAGGACATTTGCTGTTGCAAAGCTTGTAAGGAGCCTGTGAACAGAAAGCACGAGATTTCTCAGCAACCTCATTTGGCTGTGCTGACCCTTGGCTGCTACAGGAGTTACTTGATGCAGCATGATCCAAAACATGAAGAAGAAAGGTGATTTTAGGCAACTGGGTGTTCTAACTGTTAGTCCACACTTCCCTAATCCTTGTATTTGAGGGCATTTGAATTGTTCTTTCCTGAACTCCAGGATATAAGAGCAACGTGTGCATGTGGAGGTTTAATAGTGTGGGGTGGGGACACTGCCCTTCTCTTTAATAGCAATCGTATGATGAAGGAGGAATGTGAGGTGTTTTGTGACAGAACCAAACTATAAGACCTCCTTAAAGTTATATGGGCACTTCGTGAGGCAACACAGATTTGCAAATACTGTGTTAATTGCACAGGAACCTAGGCACACAGCTCCAGCAGTCTCCTAGATTAATTTCCTGAGCACAGTAATTTTTGCTGAGACACTCCTATGGTATGTATGGAAAAGAGAGCATCAAAAATATGGCATTATGTCCTTTGAATTGCAAACTCTTGGGGGGAGTTAAGGCTTAAAAGAAGAGGGTTCTCCACTCCCTCTTAGTATTAATTTTTTCTTTCTGAAATTTGTTAGTAAGAGTGTACCACATGCCTATCCAGCTGAGTTTCCTAGACTGACAACAGTGTCTATTGTAAAAGTGGTTTTCTGGGAGCTCGTAGAATTGAATAGCAGAACAGTTCAGTGGAAGGGACCTAAAATGATAATCTAGTCCAACTGCCTGACCACTTGAGGATGATTGAAAATTAAAGCATTTTGTAAGGGGCATTGTCCAAATGCCTCTTAAACACTGAAAGGCATGGGGCACTGAGGCAGACCCGAGTGGGTAGGCACTGTATCCTGCATCTGCAGCTGGCACTCAAGAGCTTTACAGATTGCGGAGCCACGGTGGCCGGCATCGCTGCCCCGGGAAAGATTTCTGTCATGCCTGCTGGATCTACACGCCTTTCCCAGTGGTGCCAGGTGCAGCTTCGGCGTCCTCCCTGACCTTCAGAGGAGGTCGCCCACGGGCCGTGCCAGCTCCTCCCCAGAATGCAGGCGCCGCTGCTCCCCCATCCCCGGGCTCACATTACTGCCAGCACCATTCCGCCCTAGCCCCTTCCCTCCTTTCAGACCCATATAGGTTACTTTGGGGGTTGTTGTCCCACCTCTCCTGCTGGCGACAGGAGGGTGGATCAGCAGCAGAACTCGTCCCCTCCCCACCCTGCTCCAAGCCGGCGGTAGGCATCCCTAAAGGTGGGTGCCGGTGCCGTGAGAGGGCATTGCTCTACTCTGTCAAGTAGCCCTCGCAGCTCCTTCCTCCTCACCTTCAGATGCTGTCCCGAATCCGGGCTGGACAACGGATCGCTGCACTCGCGTCCTTCAACCGGCAATCGCAGGGAGGCGACTTTCCTCTTTCCCCCTCCCGCCCCACTTCACGTCCCCTCCCTCCCCCCAACCTGGTTAGCGAAAGCAGAGACGTGCAGCCGGCGATTCTTCTCCGGCCACAGTATATCCGAGTCGAAGCAGGAGGGAGAAGAAGGGTCTGCTCCTTCCCTATCTTCTTCCTTGCCTCTCCAACTCCTTTCAGGACCTAGGGAATGAGAGGGGATCCCCGTGAAGGACTCAGAACAGAGGACGCAGAACGCTTTCCCACACCCTCCCCCTTTTGCAGGAAGCCGTGTTTGCAGAGATTTCCCCTGGCACACACACTGACTCCCGAGGAGATGCAAGGAAGGGATTGCAAAATGCAACAACGAGCTGACACCTCCCCTCCTTCCCCCACGGCAAAGCGCAAGGACACCTGGCTGGCTGCAGACAGTCGGAGATGGGGTGGGGGACATGCAAACACACGCACCCCTCCGAGGGGCTAGGGGAGCTCTGGGGGCCTCCTCCGCGGCGAGCACCGAGGGGCCAGGGAGGTGCAGGGAAGGGGCGGGGGAGCCGGAGACAGGGGGAGGGAGACAGTCCAGCTCCCGCAACGAGGGGAGGAGGAAGGAGGGACCGTGTCGGTGGGATGGTCCGGAAATGCTGTGATAAAAAGAGGGGCGCGGGGGAAAAGTAGGGAGAAGGTCTGGAGTCATTCCCTCTCCTTCACACTGCACCCGCAACTTCCCCGGCAGCCCTCAGGCTCACGGGCGCCGTCCGGAGCCTCCCGGGGAGCAGAGGAGCCGCAGCCACTCGCCGCCGGCCCGGCCCGTCTCAGCACCGCGCCCGCCGCCGAGCGAGGTACCGGCGCGGGGCCGCGCCGGGAGGGGCAGAGAGGAGAGGCGGGGTGCGGGCACACGGGGACGGGGACAGCCCTGGTGCCCCCGGGTGCTGGCACGGCTGTGACCCGGTGCAGGAGCCGGGCGGGGGTGGCCGCGGCCGGGGCCAGCAGCTGGAGGCAGCATCGTGCGCGGCGGGGCTGCTGAGCTGCACCTGCGGCCGGCCGGTCTCAGCCTCGAGCCCTCCGGGCTCATCCTGCGGAGGTTGCAGCCCTCGCTGGCATTGCTCTGGGGGGCTTTCCGAGGGGTTCGGGCGGGGGGCCCTGCCCCGCATTTGAGCTTTCCATCCCGCCACCCGGGCTGCGTCCGCACCCAGATCGCCCCGGCATCCTCCGCTTGTCCTCCCGGGCACTCGCAGGGCACTTCACCTTCAAATGCCCCCTCGGCGGTGCCCGGCGGAGCTGACACTCCGGAGCAAGCCCTCCGAAAGCCGAGAGGGCGAGAGGCAGGCGGGGAAACAGGAAAGTTCAAAGGTTTAACCCCTTCCTGCCCGTCTGCAGGAGACAAGCCTGGAGGGGCACCGCACTGCTCCTCCACGCTTGTTCCCGGCCACTTGCCCTGTCTGGAGGAACCACTGCATTCCCCTGCCTCCTCCCACCCGGTGACCGCTCACCAGCATGCAGCTCTGCTCCTCAGGTACCTTGTCGTGCAAAACAGGGCCTGAAGGGATGGAGAATTGAAAAGTTGTCTGCTCTCAGACGAGGGGGGGAAGGCTGTGGAGAGAGAGCTGAGAAAGACTGGGTATCAGCCTTTTCTTTTCCTAGAGACACTAGTCCTCTTTTGACTGTACCTTTTTGCAGGCTGCCCTCCAAGGATTCCTGGTCTCTGTGCATGTGAGGTGTGAAGGTGGGAGCACCCCAAAGCCCTCATCATGGATTTTGTTATGAAACAAGCTCTAGGAGGTAAGTGTGGTTGGCACATGAAGAGCCTTGAATCCCTCCCACTCCTCCCCTTTGCATCTGGCAAGAGAGGGGATGGTCTACAGTGGTGGGGTCTGCAGCTGGAAGAGCTCTTCGAGGACTTGGAAGAGCATGCTTGTCACTGATTCATGATCCCAGAGCAAAGTATTTGAAGAGTGTGAGCAGGAGAGGGCAGCAACAAGCAGAGACCAAAGCCCCATGTCAGAGAAGAGGCCTCCCACACAAGGTGTGCAGGCCCTGGGTCGTGCCTTATCTGGCACCCTACCAACTGACTGCATATCCTGCTGTACAGTGTGCAGGTCTTGATTTGCTTCATGCCATACCACTGAGGCTGGCATTAAAAAGGCTGCAGACTGGTTTCAGCAGTTAACCCAAAGAAAGAGTGGCATTTTGTCTGTGTGTGTGTAAGCCTTCTTTTCATCTTTGCCCCAAACACTGGCCAAATCTTGAACGAAAAATGCCCAGAGCAGAAATTTTTGCACCTGGTATTTTGAGAGTTACTTTTAATGAGAATGTTGGCACAATAAGGTGGGAAATAGTAGTAAAGTGCCCCCACGCACCCTACCTGGGTTTGAGGCCAAACTTCTATGTGTTTCAGTATATTAGCTTCCATGTATGATTGATTGTTTTAACCTAATAGTGGAAAACAGAAAAGGTCTGTGTGGGAAATTGAAAATACAACATAAGCATTAAGGTTTTGTCATTCGACCAGTTTTGCTGCCTTTCTAGGCTACTTGACCTGAACATTGGGTCTAAGCAATGTTGTCACTGGGACAATCCTGGCTGCTACTGGGAACTGGAATAGTTGGCCTCAGAGGAAGTCATTCTCTCTTGTACTGTTTTTCATGTGTGTATTTTCTATTGTTTTTCCTTTGGAGAAACTGTAGAGTTGTGGGACTGTGTGAATGTTTAATGTGTGGTGATATTGATGTCATATACAACTTCAGCATGTACTGCAGGACTCTCTGGCATGGAAAAAGTGTTTTCATCTTTGCAAGTGGTGGGTGTTTTTCACCAGGGGATCAAAACTCTCACAGTTGAGAACAGAGCAAGCAACCCAAGTTTTAGCTGATGTGTTTTGAATAGGAAGATAAAATTGGAGAAAAAGGGACTAATTTGGTTGCATGAAATAGAAATATATGAAGATCTCTATGTGAGAAGGTAACGGTTTGTGTGGTAGCAGTGTTATGTTTCATTAATCTACAGTGCGTGTTTTGAAGGAGAAATAGTTCTGAGACATGCAGGTTTTGCACTACTCACTATAGTATTAATAAGGTTGCTTGCACAGAAATGAACAAGTGTACCTGCAAACTGGAGATACAGCCACTGCAGCTGAAGATCCATGAATCCACTAAAGGGAAATAACTGCTTAGAGACTGCAGTTAAAGGCAGGGGGAGGAGGGCTGCAGCAAAGGAGTATCAGCTGAGATGCGTGTCTTCTTTTGCAGCTTAGTGACTTAACCTTGTGTTGGAAGCAGTGTGTGCCTGTGCTTAACAGCATTCACTCTGGGCAGACATTCCTTCTAATATAGTATTGCATGCCACAGTCAGGATTGATATTGTATGATAATAGGACTTGCTGAGAAGGCAAATTCGAAAAGCATCTTTTTGTGAAGTCTGAGCTCCTGATGCCTTTCAAGATGCTGCCCAGGGCACCAGCTCTTCTGCCAGATGACTTAATGTGTCTGGAACTTGCCCACTTACTCAATAAAGGAGAAGTCTCTGCAGAGTGGTAAAATCCAGGAAATGCTAATTCATTAAGCAGAGTCCTAGTTTTAAATTAGAAATAGTTTCAGTGAAGAAAAACAGGATCTCCCAGTGCAAATGCAATATGTAAAGTAAAGGTCATTTTGGACACTCGTTTCTCACAAGAGTTAAGGCCCAAGCTGATGCAAACCATGTAAGCTGGCCACAGTGGTATAGCAAGCCAAGGACTAAAAGTTATAGTTTGTTTCCTTAATTATGGGGCCAGAACTCTTTTTGTATGCCAGTTCTGACATCCAAAGGCAGATGCTCAAACTGAGCAAAGCACCAAACCTCTAGTGATTGACAAACATGCTTTGCCTAGGATACGTGGTGTGATCTGCTAGTGACCTTTTTATTATCCTCACTTTCAGGGAGACCTTTGGGTGGATTTCATGGCTCTTTGATTTTAGCTTGATGCGGCTTTTCCCAGAACATCTCTGAATTCATTTGGCTGTCTGATAAGATTTTTTGAATAGTTTTTATTCCATTTTCAAAATCTCTTCTGGCGCTCCTGGAAGAAAGAAAAAAAAGTACTGCAATTTTCTCAGTTAGGTCCCCCTTAATTTACAGAGAATCAGACTTGCTATAGATGCTGCTTGCAGACCACCTACAGCTACGATAGTTTAACCCTTCAACTATCTCAGCTGGTGACAACTCACAGAGGCTGAGGGCCAGCTGGGTGTCCTCAACTGAGTATAATGGGTGTGTAATTTTCTCTTCCCAGTGTCCAGCACCAAAGTGGGGCTTAGACCAGAGCTTATGATAGCTAAGAGCCTGGATTTGAGAACAGTTTGCAGTTTGCAGTGCTTTTGACCTTTCTCTGCTGAATAGGACTATGTAGCATGTGAGGACTTTGGGACCAGGTTGTGTCCTACTGGAGTGATCAGAGGAGGTACTGAAAGAGAAGCATCATGGTTCTCCTGCCTCCTCACTCACCTTATTGAGGAAGAGGAGGTCTCACTCTCTGCTAATTAGCAGTAACCGTAGCCTTAGGAGGACACTTTCTGTGCGAGTTTTCCCATCGCCTTTGAAGCAAACTTTGAAGATGTTACCCTTGTCTCTAATGGCATAGGATGATAGGATTTGCTTTTCCTTGGAGTTTTGCCAGTCAGAGGGGAAGAAGCGAGCAAGGTGTTTTGAAGGGTAGGTGAGCTAAGTTAACAAGCAAGAAAAGGCAGTTATGCGAGGTAGAGTTGCTTTGTTTTGAAGTCTGTGTGGTTAGGAGATCTAAGTTTTGTGCAATCAGTTTGACGTGTTATTGTATTGCTGAAGTAGAATGTGTCCTTTCCCTGACTTGTTGTTAAAGGGTGTCTGCAAAAGCCTGCTATTTCTGTGCAATGGAAGGTCATCCTCTGCTGTACTGCCAGCACCGGGATTTTGCTGTTGGTGTTGGCAGAATTTTATGCCTGGAGTTTGACCAGCTTGAAATGTGTCTTTCCAAATCCCTGGCCCCTTAATGGAAAAATCCTTGACCCTTTCATTAGCAGTGGAGACTGTGGTCCAGGAGAATATTAGCTTATTTGGCCAATTTGCTATTGTGACCTTTCTTTTTTTTTTTTTTTTTGGTACTTCTCAGACCTTTCAACACTCTGTATGACAGTCACTCCATTTGTTGTCTGACAGTGACAGAACCCATAGAGAGGTCATGATGCTGATTAGCTGTGTAAGACAAGAAGAAAATAGAAAGAAGAAACCTAAAGGCTTAAAGCCACTGCTTCTTCCACAGAAGTAACAGCAAGGGGATATTTTGTACCTCTGACCCTGCTGCATCAGCAGACATTGACATAGGTGTGTAGCCAGGCTGATTGGTCACTTTGCTGCTCCTGTTCACAGGAACTGTGTGACAGTTCACCAAATGAAGACAATCAGAGTGATTTCACGACTGTATTTTGTGCTAGAAATGCTCTTTACCAAGCCAGATCAGAGCTCTAGACTACTGTCATCATGACCAATGTGTTTGACTTCCCAGGAAGAAGCTGGAAGTGAAGGACCTGAAATGGGCCCCGGGGGATTTTAGCTATAATCTTTTCAGTGGGCATTGTTTATTTATTCTTAAGTTTGTCTGTGAAACCAAAGGGTGAAGGAACATCTGACTCCCATGTTGTACTGCAACATATCACTTCCTCTTCAAACAGATAGGGAAAGCGGATTGAAATAGGGGACAGTGAACTTCATGAAGCTCTGCTGGGTGTCATTCTATTACTGGCTGACTTGAGGGCCAAGGATTTGAGGCATTTTCAGATGAAAAGAAAAGAGGAAAGCCTATGGAAAGGAGGAGGACTTGTGAGAATTTGAATCATGCTGTGTTTGAAGAGAGAGAGATTTCTTGCTGTAGGAACCGGCATTTTGCAGACTAGAATGCTGTGAAGATGAACAGAACACACAGTAGCTCCAATTCTGTATTATATGTTGTGCAGATCCCTTTTAATGTGCTACTTTTATTGCCTTGAATAGGAGAAATGGCAAGAACTAGATGGGATAAGTTTGGGATGCCTGTCTTAAATATTGACTTTTCCTAATGTCAGATTGTGCATAAATCACGTAACTCCTTTCACATATAATGATTCGTATGAGTAGTACTGTCTATATTTCTTCTTCCTGCTTCCAGCACCCCTTGTATTCATAGTGCAGTGCAAGCCCCACCAGAAGGAAGGGAACATCTGCATTTCTGGACAGATAATCACTGTGATAGATATTACGGGAATGATTTTCTGCTTTGTTGGCAGCAGTTTAGAGTGAGGACTGCTACTTCACATTCGTTGCTTTAGCTGTCAAGAATTGGTGGACACTGGTTTTATTTCATAAAGACTCTTAAAATACTGTAGGAAGAAGTCAAATGCAGCCAGATTGCCATCTGGAATATGTCAGCAGGGAGACACTGGCTGCTTCATGTCCTTTACCAGCAACTTTGATCCAGCTATGTATAGAACAAAACATAGTCCAGTGGGAGTCCCCTTGCTTAAAGGTAGACAGAGATTTAAACACTCTTGGAGGTAATGGGATTTAAGTCACTGTCCATAAATGCAGAAAAAGCAGCCCCTGTGCTAAGTGTACATTACTGAAGATGTATGTGTGAATACCAGATAAGCCTGAATCAAAACCATACATCTTAGCAGTGACCTTCTGTATATTCTGCTGATGCATTTGCCTCATTTTAGTAGCTTGTGGTGTGGGGATTAAGTCCTTACTTTATCCTGGAGAAGTCAGCTAGATTGAGTGCAGTTAGAGGCAATACA